TGGTCACTTGCACGGCCATGTGAGCTGTGGGTGTGCCCGTGTGACCTCCTTTGTGACTTGTCACGCGCCCGATCTTCGCCCAATCGACCCCGAACTCGCTCCTAAACCTTCATTCACTTGCCAGGACCTGAAATATCACAAACAAGCACAACCTAGCGTGAAATCGGTCTAAACACGAGAAACCACATCTCTAACGGTGTAAGAACATGGATGAAAACATGTGTAATTAACGGTCTATCACCCGTCTAACTCTAGAACTTTGTACCCAGCGCGGTAGCATAAAGCATGCTAAGAGGAAAGATTGGGGCCAGTTTCCCAAGCATCATCATTTAGGAAAGAGTGGTATTAAGAATCTACTAGACAAACACATTCATTCATTCAAACCCTAAAATATCCATACATACATAATAAACCCTAAAACTAGCGTTTGAGGTTTACATGGTAGAAATAGAAGAAAAATCAAATTTGGGAAGATCCTCTTTGCTCCTAGCTCCTCCTTCTCTTCTTCTCCCTTCAGCTTCTCTCTCTAGATCCACAAATTTCACCCCAAAATCAACTCTCTTAAAATGGGGAAAGGGGTCTTCTAATTATAGGCATTTTACACTCGGGGAAGTTCGCGGCCTGAGGCTAAGAGATCGCGTGGGATCTTCTGATGATAGGCCTTGATCTCAAGATGACGTCGTCATGGCCTTATAAAGGAGGAAGATTGCGGGCTGACTTCATGGTCGAGATCCTCGAGTCGTGCCCATGGTCTTCCTCGCGGGCAAGTTGAACATTGGCCGTGACGCGGCTGGGGAAACTCTCTACTTCTCCAAGGCTCCTTCTTCGCGAAGTTCGCGCCTTAAGCCTCCAAGATCACAGTCCCGATCTTTGGCTTCTGGGCCACAATCTTCGGCGAGTCTTCATGACTGGAGATCCCGACCGTAATCTTTAGCTTCTAGGCCACGATCTTTGATCATTTCCCTTTTCTACACTTGTGACCTTGTTTTGTACCTAATTTGCACATATTGACAAATACACCCTATAATCACATTAAAATTAAATAGGAACGAAATAGGGATGTATTTGACAATGTTTAAACGCTTAAGCACATGAATTGGCACAAAACATACCCTAAGATGGAGGGTAAATAACACCGATTTTGGTGTTATCAAACTCCCCCACACATAGGCGTTTGCTTGTCCCCAAGCAAACTTACTCAAACCTGGTGCAATATGATAGATGAATGAGGCATACATGCGAGTTCTTCTTTGAATAGATAAGAGTATATGGGGATGAATGAACGCTACTACCTTTCTACTGTGCAAGCACAAACTCTCATGTGAGGACCATATCCACTACCTTATGCCGATCATTCAAAATGTGCTCCGGGGGATTCTCCACATTGGGTTGCCACACATGTTGGATACAAACAAGAGCTATGCGGTCTCGTGAATCGCTAAAAGGTACCATTGGTCCTTAGCATACGATTCCGTGAGGAGGAGAAGTGTTTGGAGAGTGGTAAATAGAAAGAGATTATCTGGACGCAATTAAGCTATCCGAACCCCAAACACATCCTCGAAGGGCACTCCGAGCCAAGAGATCAATCCTTTGACGGTTGATCTCAATTATTTGTCCTGTTGCCACTCACATGAAAACCTCTTTTCTATTTTTAAGCACAAATTGAAAAATTTCCTAGTTCACATAAAAGAGAGAATCCTACACGCTATGCCTTCCTAAGATAGCAAACACTATCGACTCACACTAGAGGACGAAAGTAGTGAAATCCCTCACGTACCGATACTCAAACCATTCAACTATTGCCTAAGATGCACAACACATCAATCATTCTAGTCAAATCAAAGCACATCGGGTAGGTAATTGCAAGGACAAGGTGTTTTGAAACCCTCAAATTTGAAAACATTTGGGTGTGCATTCAAGGTTCCAAAAACACAAATAAGGGGTCGTTTGGATTGAGTATTTGATAAACTTGTTGTTTGGGGCCAATTACCACACAAATACCACATAATATAAAACTTGTTATTTGGTATGTGATATTTGGTCTCAAACTTGTTATTTGGGAAATACCTGCCCCCTCCCAAGTATTTGGCAAACAACACTTTTGTGTTATTTGGTCTCAAACCTGTTATTTGGCAAAACACTACATCCAAATAACACATCCCACTTTATGTCAGCCAAACATGTTATTTGGGGTTAAATAACAGATTTTGTGTTATTTGACCTCAAATAACACCCCCAAATACTCAATCCAAACGACCCCTAATACTTCACCATTCATCACCACAATAAAGGCATGATCACTAACATACACTCCAATAAGCATTCATCAACGTCTTACACGAACAAGGGATGATACTAGCAATAAACAGTTGCACCAATCATTATAAACATTCAAACATGCACAAACACCACCCCCCCTACACACACACACACTTGAGCAACACATTGTCCTCAATGTGGGAGTTCGCTTAGAAAAGATCGTGAATGTTACCATAGGTCGGGTTGTGGGTTGGTGAAGGTTCACAAGTGTAGTCTTTGTTATCTTGGTGTTTTCACAACGATAAAGCGCAGAAGATAGAGAGGAAGACGAATAGGAGTTATAGGTACGATAAATAAATAAATATATATACATATATATGGTGCCTTCTATGGTACCCCGGGCGAAATCTAGGGTACCGCATACCTTGAGTATGAAAACGCTATCTAGACCTCGAATTAGTAGGATTTTTGGGCATAATACTATACCCTAACCCTTAATGAGTGAACCCTAGGTCCTAATTATCTGAATCATAAACTATAAACCCTAAGATGGTGCATTGATTGTTTTGCCTATATTTGGACAAATCATAACCGTCGATTATTGTTTCTAATTAAATTGATCTTGGGGTATAAGATTTAGAGAATTAAGACCTAGATGTTGATCTTTAAGGGTTAGAGTATATATATATAATAAGTACTACTACTAGCGATAGAATATTTAAGGTACGAAAGGTAAAATGAAAATAAAGCGATAATTAAACATTGTTTTAATTTAAATAAAGAAAAGATATATCTTAGGCCCTGGATGCCTAGACTCATTCCTCCTCGGGGTGTCCTTCTTCTTCATCGTGGGAAAGTGCGGAAGGTGAGGAGCGGTTGAATTTGGCCGGTACATCTTCGATCAGAATGTTCATCTTCTCCATGATCGCGTGGATTCACACCATAATGTGAAGTCGTGCTTCCTTCTCCCTTGGTTGGTTGTGTAGTATAGTCGCTATCATAGCCTCAATCCTATATTCTCTTGCATTGTTGCTCGATGGGTGAACCGGTTGAAAAGTGGGAGTAGGCACTTCTCCTCCTTCATGCACTCTCTCCTCTTGGTCTTCCTCGGTTGTCAACCCTCTTCAATCCCTTGCCCTCCTAGCTTCCGGAAGATGGAATACAATTCCTACCACGTCCAATGTATTGGTGGTTGGGAATAGGAATCCCTGCACACCCCAAATGCCATCATTGCTAATGTGTAGCACCTTAAGTTTCAACTTCAAGACACCGAAGGATATAGGAACGGTCCTTCGATCCAAACGAAATTGGACAGCTTAGAAGATGAATTGGAAATATCTGGCAAGTCGGGAGACATACACTCCTCCGTGGAGTGCGGCAAGACAGTGATCTGTCTCGTAACGCTTGAAAATAGATAAGATTGATTGGCCGAGATGTAGAGATTATGGTAGGCGCATGCTATGAAGTAGGGTGATGTCTTGGGCGGTGAGATTGCCCTTGCTTCGATTCTTTCCTCCCACAAACCTAGCAATCATGTGGTGGATGAGTCGTCAATCCAGTTGTACCTCACTTGCTTTTGATAGTCTCATGTTCCATTGTCGGCTCTCGGTTTTCTTGACTTCGGACTCATAGAAGGCCTTGAAACAAGGGAAGTCGGATTCCCTTATCTAAGTGGTGAAATCATTAGGTGAATCAATGAAACTCGCCCGGTGGATGTCCATTGCTCTAGTGAATTTCTGGATTGACATGTGACGGTACTCGCCTCCAAGTTGAAACTGAATGAGCTTTGTGCTTTTATCCATGATGTCAGGGTAAGGGAAATTCATGGTTGGGGGAGCTTAGATTACGGTCGTGATCCACCTCCTTTCGACCTTGATATTAAACACCATGCCAAAATATCCCTCGGATGATATTGTCGTGAAACACACTACCAGTTTCCTCCTTTTCATGCTTCAAACAACCTCCAAATTACTCAAAATTTCCTTGAAAACTTTATTAACATGCTAGGACATTAATTAAGATGAGAAAGCACACCCTAGTATATAGCGAAATAAGGATGAGCAAATTACAAGCCAAATGACAAAAAATGGTGAACTTGTGCTATGTTGTAGAGTATCGCCAATGAGTTACACTTAACACAATAACACCTAAAATGACCGAAGTATTATAATTACGACAATCAAACGAGAGTGGAGGAAGCTTGCGCGCTTTCCTCTCAGCTGGAAGTGGTACCTTAAAAATGAGTAACTTTCTTGTTTGATTTTTTCGTTGTTTATTTAATTAAAACTTATGTGCACGGTGAAGATAATTAAATTTCCATTCACCACAAAACTTTATTTTTGTTTGTTTATTATGTTTTGAAAAAAAAATGCATCCATTTGAGTTGTGGTTGGAGTTAAAGATAAATTGAAAATGAAAAAAATTAATTCTCTTTTTGTAATTAAAAAAAATTAAGATTTAAAAGAAAATGTCTTAATATTAGTAGGGATAGAGGAGATAGTCTGAGTATGTTGTCCACAATCACCCCATCTCAACGTCTTCCTCACTTACGTTCAATTGGATATGTGATAAGTTACAAATGATTGCTATATTTCGACTTCGAACCCACCTCTTAACATGAACATACTAAGCGAGTGCGCGAAGCCGCAAACTTGATCATATCGTACTTGCTGAATTCCAACAAGACTAAACCAACAATTCAAAACCAGAACATAACAGCCCTTTTAGCTACCTGGGTGATCCAAATTAAGGCATCTTTAATCAACTTTACCAATCGTTCTCTTGTTCATCATGGCCCTCCAAATCTCCGCAAACATGCCAATCCTTCCCAAAAGGCTTTAGACACAGGCAATGATATCTTACAGAGAAGAGTCTCAGTGATTTAGGCCTATTAGCACCAACCACCAGGCACCAACAATGAGCTTCCTTTCTCTATCTCGCTTTTGACATGGCTATTATCAGTCAAAAGGATGTCTGGAAAAGCCTCTCTTTCCGGAAACAGAGAAAGAAAGCAAAAGAAAGCCGACCTCAGTGTCTGTCTGTCTACCTGGGCAAGGCTGGAAAGGGTAACCTCATTCACTGACCCGTATCCGCCGAGGTTCAAAGTAGAGAGACCCTCCTAGATATCCCAAACCCTTCAGAAATCCAACCTTTTCAGCTCCATAGTTTGCGATGTCGGGGCTTCACTTAAGGGTCGCTAGAAGACAAAGCAAGCACAGATACAGGTTTCATAAAGAGAGCAAAACCAGCAAGTAGATATACCACAGTCATCAATCATGCTCAAATTCGCAGCATCCAGGGCCCTCAAACACAGGTAAAAAGAAATACCATGAAATTTATCTGTACCCTGCTACATACATCATGCATTTCTCCACGGTGTTTCTCGCCTTACACCCTAATGCTATTAACATGATCTCTAAACAGGGGGAGTTATTTTATCTCTATGACTAAAGCAGGATCCTGATATGAGAAGTTACAAAACAGTGAACCCAGTTGAACGGGGAAAAAATGAATAGACAGAAAGAAGAAAACCCAAGATCAAACAGTAGATATGATACAGGAGGAAGTATTAAGGCCGTCATTTCAACTCACTCAAACCAGTGGGCAGTCGCCACTTCCTGTGCCAATAGATTGACACTCTCGACCACAAAGGGAACCCAAAGTTGTAGTCAAGTGGTTGATCAGCAGGCCCTCCGACTATCAAGGGTAGCCACACGTACCTGGAGTCCCTTAGATCAGCTGGATTCCACCTATCCGCCATGAAAATGAAAGAACCGGGAAGCCCCCTTATCGGAATCACGAACGTGCTTTGAGAAAAGAATGTCGCAAGGCGGAACAGTTTGTTCCCACCAACGCATGGGTTACCCATGGTTTCCCAAGGGCCCATCATGGACTCAGCTGCATGTGCCAGAGCCTCATTTGGAGCCCAGCCAGTACACCCTGAGGTGATCATGTAGTAAGTTCCCTCATGCTTAAACAGTGCTGGAGCTTCCCTGTGCTGGCCGATGAGGATCCTTCTCACCACAGGGGTAACGTCGAGATAATCTGCTGCAAGTGGGCCTATGTGAAGTTCGCTGTTGTCGTCGGAAGAATACACAAGATATGCTACGCCATCATCGTCTTTAAACAAAGTCATGTCTCTGCTGTCATAGCCATGGGGTCTTTTGCTGCCTAGATAGTCAAAAGGACCAGTAGGATAATCGCTCACAGCAATGCCGACTGAAGCTTTGGTATAGTTGGCATCATCGACATGCATCCACATAACGTATTTCCCAGTTCTCCCGTTGTAGATTACTTTAGGCCTCTCCAGTACATTTGCCTTGAAGAGGTCATGGGTTTCATCGGTCTCTTCTCCTTGCAGTACAATGCCCTCATTCTTCCATGTCCATAGGTCCTTAGAAGAGTAACAGCCAACTCCAATGATATCAACCTGAAGAATAACAGTGTACATGAGTCCATGGGTTCAGAGATTGAACACGTATCTACCAATGGCATGCAGGTGTGACATTTTCAAGTTTTGATGACAAGAATCTGTTTTAGATACCATGTTAATGAAACTGTGAGAAAAGTACAACAGAATGTTCCCTTGAAATATATAGGCAACAATTTGAGGCACCTAGTTTGTTATATACTTATATTGAAGAAGATTACTAAAACCGCAACCAACATAGTAAAAACTGCTACATCTAGGGTTCGAATTTTGGATTCAACATCATCAGTAGGGCAAACAAAACATGAAGCCAATACGGTTTGACAGCAGCATTTATGTAAAAGCCTCCCCAAGCAAAAAACTTTATGAAGCAATTGCCCTCTTTAGACGACCATTTGCAATAAATGGTCGTCTAAAGAGGGCAATCCATCGGCTGGTAGTATTTTCCTTGACTTAATTGATTGCAGTATCGGTGTACTAAGTCATATTTTTCTCAACTTAGTTGATTCCAGTAAGGATTTGCTAATTCCACAAACTCCAATTTGAATCAGTAGTGCATTGCACCTTCCTCAAAGGAAGCTTCACAGAAAGTACTTGCCAGAGGAAACTTCAGCCAGTTCTTTCATATGAGGTCACCATTCTGTCTTAACATTAAATAAGGCCACAAGTTGGAATACCTTAGTAACTGAAACTAGCACTGGAGACAAGAATACTGCTATGTTTGAAATGATCATAATATTGTTATCCCCCAACTAATTTCAGCCACAGCAGAAGCGCAGTTTGAAACTTGACAAAGAACAGTAAGGAAATGCAGGATAAGTAGCCTAACTCAATGGGAGAGCAGAAGGCAAGAACAACACCTTCTGAACATGAAACTAAGATTGGCTACATGAAAAGAGATCTGCACATGCATAGACTGATATAGAGGAAAGAAGACCATAAAACTTAAATGACATACCCGGGCGGCTCCTTTTTTGTGAGCATGGTAGGTGGGTCCCTCTTTATACTCTCCATACCAATAATGTGTGTTTGATCTCTCGTCATATAAAATGCCTCCTCCATGAGCTTGAATAGGATTTCCTTCAGTATCCAACCAAATCCTCCCAGGATAATAATAGGACGAGCTCGCATTGCCATTATCCTTCATAGGATCCACAGCAGTCTTCATCCCTGGGAAAAATACATGTCGGAGTTGGGAGTTTTCATCTAGGAACTCATCAATCAGGGTGGTTGTCTTTTTATTAGGCCTTCGTTTTGTAGCCCGTGGGGATCTCTTCCCCCTTGGTGGAGGAATCTGTATATTCTCTTCTTCCACTTCCTCAAGTTCACGGAAGAGCTTGTGATGAATTGCACGGAATTGGACATGTGCAACTTTACCACCACCATTGTTGCGGGCCATAAGCGAGGAGTAGAGATGAAGGAAAAGAAGCAACCCAACTAAACTCCAAACCAGGACTGATAATGAGCATCTGCTCCCTCCTGCATTGCAAGGGAAAGCAACAGAAGTTGGTTTCCTGCATTTGTTCCTCATCCTCATCTTGTTAACTATCTCTTTCCACCACTTCTTATCTTCAAGACAATGCTGCGATTAACATAATGCAACAACCTATGGAGATCCAAAGGAAATCCAAATGAACCCAACCGCACATATTTCACAACAAAATCTAATAATTAAGAATGGCCAAAGGAGCAGTGATCAACCTTGGAAAAACAGATAATGATAAAATTAACACGCTCGTGATTGGTGCATCATCAACCATCACTAAATACAAATCGAGTGCCAACATAAAACGAATTTTCATATATTTAATATCTTCGGGATCATCGTCCCGGGCAGCCAAAATTTAAGGCTACCAAAGCTACCAAAGCCATCAATTACTTGCCTGGCCATCCAAACCCGCATTTCAATTCTCTAAAAGAAGTAAAGAAAAATCGAAGAGGATGGAAAGACAAGCAATACAGTTCAACACTATCACACCATACATTGACGACTGCTAAATCCCGCAAAACCCAGTCAAGCCAAACAACGAATAGAGCAACTTACCTGGACAAAATCGAACCATGGGAATCTGAGCGGTGAACTCGTTGACCAGCTCGATAAAAATCAAAGACCCAGTTCACTGTATAGTTCAATAACAACTGGGTCGTTGAGTTGGGAATTGCTTCGGATCTGAGAGGGAAGATTGAGAGATGACTTGTGACCAAACCCTCTTTCTGTTCGGTAGAGCCGTAGAGGGCTTAGGCGGTTGGTGGGAGAAATGAGAGACTTTCGGTTCTCTTCTTTTTGGGAGAGCTAAAGGGTCAACTTGAGCTTGACTTAGCTTAAAGATACGATTGCTGTAGAGGAAGATTGTCTTGGTTAAGAGTTGAGCTGTGCCAAACTGTACACTAGTGAGAGATTAGATTCTTTCTAGTGAATTTTCTTCAACTTTCATGTCCATCTCTTTCCGCCTTCCTCTGTCGTAATTCCGCTTCCTAATATTACTTTACCTTCCTCGCATCTGACGCAATATCCATTTGAGCGCGCACATAATGAGAAGCAGATCCGGAACCTACGAAGCAATACCGGGATTTCACTTAAAGTTGCGATTTATAAATAAAAATATATAAAAATTAATTTTATTAATATTTAATTGATTCTCGATAATGTTTCGTAGTTCGTCGACAGATTTTCGATTGAGCATCGAAAATTCGATACTAAATTTGGAATTAGTAAATTCAGAATAAGCAATTAGAAACTCATTTTGAAAAAAAAACTAATTATTTATATAATATGCAGGGTTAGTGTGTGCCACAAAACTCTTTATCGTTATTGGTAGACAAGGTAAGACCGTAAACATGAAACACAACAGTCGAATAATATAAATTGTGTACAAATATTGTTATTTTTGTTGTCGTAATCTAGAACACACCCGATTACAAATTCCCACTATTGCCAAGGTTGTCAAACCGGTTTAATTCGTTGAGCCGGTCTCGTAAGCGGCTTAAACTTTAATGGTATAATTGGGGTATAATCTATTTGAGTCGTTTTATCCATTTTCTAAATATATATACATATAAGGTAGTGTTGGGGGTGTGACTTAACCTTCCATTCCATGAACAGACTAAGTAGTTGCGCACCAGCTGAAAGTTGATTAATCTGTCGCACACATACTACGTAATGGTGCATCCAACTATAGATGTTACTAGTGACTAAGTAGTGATGCGCACACCAACTATGGGTGTCAACCGTGAAGCCCAACATGTCGCATAACAGTGACGTTCAACCGGTGGCACCCCACAGTAACACGTAACCGCCTACCCGAGGAACTTGACGCCCGCTACAACTATATAAGGGCTCCCTCCAAGGAAGGGGAATCAACTTCTCTACCCTCACTTTACACTTTGGGGTTCTATTGACTCGCACGAAACTACACCACAAATTAATCCCGACTAGAGTCCAAGTTTTTAAACTCTAGTCGGGTGCAGTATAGAGCAAGTATTTAAATTGTCGACCCGGGCCGATCCATGTACCCCTACTTCAATCTCTTAGGTTATTATCTAGCAAACAACTTTTGGGTTTATAACTAATGGAACTACAAACTAAACAAGCAAAGAAAAGTAAATAAAGGAAAATTCGAACTAAGGGAGCTTCACCCAGGAGTTGCTTCCCCCTAACTAGCTACCAAGACTCGTTGGATTGCAACGATGGTTATGGGCAAGGTGACCGCGAACCGCAAAGGGATGCAAATATGGTCGTAGACCAAACTCTCGATTGCTACCGAGGTATACATTATAGTTCGTGTCACTCGGCCCTCTCGGTTTAGGCAATCAGTGGTTGAGTTACTCCCTCACTCAACTCAAGGGTTGGACGACTTGATCGCGCTTAACCAATTTGCTTAATTCAACATTGAGGTTTGCCCTAAATTAACCTAGTTAGGTGACTTAAAAAGCTAAATGAAAACCAACTCGATTGAGTCTCCCTTGAAAGGGGGATTTTCCTCTCTAATCTAGGTTAAAGTGGCTAATTAGATTGCTAAGCACCAACATGCACAAACCTAAGGATGTTAAGCACAAGCATGCACAATCCTTAGGTTGCTAAGCACAAGCATGCACAATCAACATGAATACTACCTTAATCATTGAATTAAACAATACCCAATGACAATCATTCAATCTAAACAAGTAATTATAAAGTATTAGTTAGGGATCTACAACACCCAAGAGAAAAGAGTGAGTTTCTAGAGAGAGAGAGAGAGAGAGAGAGAGAGATTACAAATTTGAGCTCAAGATCTTCTTCTTCTAGGCTTGAATCTCCACCCAAGCCTCCAATGATGCTCCAAGATCACTCTAGCACTCTCTCTCTCTCTCTCTCACACTAGAACTCCCCTTTGGTGTTTTTGGGCAAACCCTAGAGAGAGAAACCAATTCTTCTCCAAAAACTAGCTCTCCCTTTTCTCACTCCCCGATGATGTCTTCATATTGGCCCGAAAGTGACCAGTTCATGGACGCGTTGGCCAGTTCATGGCATAAACACCTAAACGCGTCCGTGAACTCAGTGTCGTCCAAAACGCACTGTTTCACTCTCCTGGGTTCACGGTCAATGGCCCTAGTTCACGGTCTTAGAGACCGTGGACCGTGAACTGCCTTGTCGTCAGTAACTTCTGGAACCTCGTTGGACTGCTCGATGTTCACGGTTTGTGGTCCATGTTCACGATCTTAGGAGACCGTGGACTACCTTGTCCGGTCGTGACCTACGACTATTTCGTGGGCGCCTTCAATTCACTATTACGGGGCAATTGTCATGGTGATTTCGGACTTTTCTTCAGTTTTTGCGCTTTTTTACCTCCAATTATCCCAAAACTCGTCCTTGACCCTTCCACCCGTGCTAGGACCTGAAATGTATCAAAACAAGCATAATCTAGCATGAAATATGTCAAGGAATGATGAAATACTAAGCCAAACGAATAAGAAATGAGGGGTAAAATGTGTACATTTGGGCCCGAATCATCTATCTCTAGACTTTCTCGCATATCTCTCTACAATATATTGACTTGATCGTTGGAGTATAATGCGGGAGGCATCTACGTCTTTTCATAGTTTCTCTTTCTCCCGAAGAGATCAAACAAGCGTATCGTAAGTCAAGTCTCATATCAACAACGAATCATTGTTTGTGTCCTAAGCTAGATGGTACAAACATGAAGTAATTTAAAATTTTAATGGCTGCAAACCTTACCTCTCATAAAAAAGTCATATCTAGTCCCCACAGACACACATCATCCACTTTCCTCTCTCCCCAGTCTCCACTTTCCCTGCTCCCTCCCCCTTCTTCTCCCGCCCCCTTCCCCTCTGCATTTCTCACTCTCTCTAGCAGCCAGACAATCAGCTTTCTGAAAGACTGCTTTGGATCTCGGTTCTGGTCGAACATAGCCCAATTGGTCGTCCTGATGGCAGTTTAACAAGCAACCACACAAACATCACACCAAGCATCCCTCTGATTCGCATAGCAGTAGAGGATAGGTTAGTTTAGTTGCATGACCCTTTAGGGGTTTATTCGGTGAAGTCCGATTACCATTTTTCCTTCGATCAGAATCGTGCACTAGAAAAGTGAGACGGATGGATCGTGGGTTTTGTAAGAGTATTTGATCGCTTGATATTCCGCCTAAGTTAGAGTTCTTTATTTGGCATATCCTTACCCTTATCCTGCCAACTACAGAGGCGTTACTTGATGGATTCCACTAATTTTGTCTTTTTCTTGCGTCGAATGTTCGAGAGATCTTCTTTGATCTAGTTGATCTGTAAGATTGTGACAGTTTTGTGGCATGTATGGAAAGCTCAAAATGGGGTCGTCTTTGAATTCAACCAAGTCCAGTTGGTGGAATTGCATCATCAGCTTAATCATCAGATTCAGGAATGGCTGGGTGTTGCATCAAGGGTGGTCCAGGAAACTCGTGGTAGTTAGGATCAGGTTGATGTGCCAATCAATATGGCTTCGCCTGATGGGATGGTTTGTTCTTTCGATGGAGCCTTATGCAGGGGTTCCCATGCGACTGTCGGGTGGGTCATTCAGGATGCCTCAGGTGTGGTGATTTTGGCTAAGGGGAAGTGACTTCAAGGGATTTATGAACGCGCTTTGATGAAGTTGGTGGCCTTGCGGGAAGCCTTCTATTGGTGCGTGGATAAAGGCTTCACTTCGGTGTTAATTTGTGGAGATGCTAAGGTGATTATCGACAAAGTCAATGCTGAGAGTGATGCTAATGGTGAGGCCATTCTGCGTGAATTTTTGGCGTTGAGGCAAGAATATCCAGGGGTGGTAGTACAGTTCATTGGAAGACAAAATAATAGAGTGACCCATTTGGTGACACGAAAAGATCTCACATTGTCATCTAGTGATGTACATGGTTTTGATTTTTGTGCTTGGCACCATATGGAGTTGTATTCGTTCGATCTATTATTCTTGGTAATACAAGTTATTTATGGTTATAAAAAAAACAAGGAAGCTACTTAAAGTGATTTCACATAATTTAGTTAATTTATGTTGTGTTGCCAACTCATATTGACATAACAATAAATAAAAATATAACTAAACATGTTTTCAGACTCCATTTTCACTTGCAAAAACAAAAAACAAAAAAAAATTGAAAATGATAATTAATTCTCCAATTTCAAGACGATATTTTAACTATTTTTAAAAAAATCATAATAGTTCATATTAATTATGTTCTACGAAATGATATCAACTTTAGTATATTTTGAGAAAAAAATGTTAATTAAGGTATTTTTTACCACATATAATATTGTGGTAGAGGTTAGAAACAAATACTCTATTTGGCACGAACTTTGAAGTAAAACATAAATTTGGCTTGAACTTTGATATCAACTTTTTGCCATATCTTGAAAGAAATAGACAGATTTGGCATGTATTTTGAATTGATGGCCAAGAAATACTTTCATTTTTTACTCAACATCCAGTTCTGAGATATCGTCCATGTGATTTATTAACAAAAAACTGAAAAAGTTAAAAAAATGACAAAAAATTCAATGAGAAAGGATTAAACCATTTCCTTCCTTATTCTTCTTTCCACCCTATCTTGCCACCTTAAACCTCAATCCCTCTCATCTCCTTCGTGAAACACTTATCCATCTTAATCCATAGTCAGTTTCATCTTTCCCACAAAAATAAGCCCTATGATTTGTTCCTAGAGGGATTTACATGAATATTATTAAAACAAAAAATATTACCACAAATGTAGCGACAATAATAATATTTACACAAATATTGTGATGAAAAGCGAGCTCGTGGGAACGCGCAAAGTCACAAACTCGAGAAGTTTTTGGCTCCCTCGCTGTTTTCAGCGACGTCGTCCATTGTTGCAGCAAAGCCACAACCTCTGTCTCCACCGGCGTCGCCGGACGACCTCTTATCGGTCCTTTCTCACGTGCCGCCATCGATGGTCAAGACGCCAAGTTTCGCCGCTGTTATTGTTGGAGAAGATCAGGAGACTTATCGAAGCTCCCTCGTCGCCGGGAGGAAGGAAGGAAGAAAGGAGAGGAAGAGGCATCACAGTGACGCAAAGATAAAGAGAGAAGAGGAAGAAAGAGAAAGAGAAGAGAAAAATGGGGCTTGTGCGTACCCGTAAGAGTTGATCTATACTTTTTCACTTTTAGTTAAGCTCGTGCGTTAATGTCCAAGCTCATTTTTTGTCGCAATATTTGTGAAAATATTACTATTTTTGCAATATTTGTGATACAGGTTCCCTTAAGTATTTATATATCCATTATTAGGTTTAATCTTTCTCTTAGTATAGTTCTGTCAACCATATTCATGTGATATCAAAATAGAGGACTCAAAAGAAACTTATTCTTAGAATAACTTTGTATCTTTGTGATTCATCATAGGATAGGGTCAAATTTAATTTGATAGGTACGAAAACTATCAATATCATATTCCCTTTAAACCTAACTACTTGGAAATTGTCTTTGTAGTCTTTGGAAGCCAGTTTACGATTAAGGTGCCTCAGATTGCCAAGTCAAACAACATATAAATGATCATGAAAATAAAACTACTAAAGATGGCACGAAATAAGAAAGACAATAACTAAACATGTTCAGAACAAAAAGTAAATACGAGATAAAGCAGGATGTAAAAGCATTTTTCAGATATTCTTACCTCTAAATTTTTCAAGATTGGCATGCAACTCCAACAAACATATGCACTTGATAGTCTCTACGAAGGTTCCCACCACCTATTTCAACCCAATATCCTATCCCATTATGGTAGTTTTCACTTTTGATATTGGACTATGTTGCATGCATACAGATAATCTATTTTGATATCACGTTTACCCTTTGTTGTTCACTATCTACATGTATCAATATTGAAGTACTAACAATCATACAAGGATTCATCCCCAATCAATAATCTTACATGTACATAGATACGTATTGTCAGTAAAATCGATAAAAATAGGGTAAACAAAACATTAATCAAAATATATTGAATTCAATGCTTGATAACACAATCTTTGAAACTTATATGGTTCACAAATCTAAATAGCCACTCACAAGGACATAAAACCTAAAAACATCAAATTGATTTAAAAATATATCTTTCGGAAATAACTGTTTTTTGGTCAATCTGGTGGTTCATAAGCCACTGTATGCCATTTCTTTCTTCCTTAGTGCTTATGGTCTATGGGTGATTTTTTTAGCTCTGGACTTCCATTGGAGATAGAGTAACCCATCTGTAAAAGTCGTTGTTTGTTTAGAGCCTGAGGAGTCTATCATATTTTAGCCTTGAAAATTATATTTTCTGAGAAATTTTTAGGATTGAACTTCTCGACACTGTATCTTTCCTCGTTACCCCTTCTTTGGAGCTCAAGAGAAGTTTATCCATTCCTTGGAAGTGAAAATGCACCTTCTTCCGATTTTGGCACTTCGAGTGCCAAAATGGGTTACATGGCACTTTGACCATCAATATGAAAAGGTTAACTGATAACACCTAGATTGGTGTTATTTACCTTTCATATTGAGATTTGTTTCATTTCCATTCATGTGCATAAATGCTTAAACATCGTCAATTGCATCCCTATTGTGTTCCTATTTGAATTCGATATGACTTTAGGGTGTGTTAGACCATATATGCGGCTTAGGTACAAAACAAGGTAACAAGTGTAGCAAAAAGGGGCAAAAGACTGAAGATCATGGCTTGGAAGTAAAGATCACGGCCGAGATCCTGGACCGTGAATATCGCGGCCTGAAGCCCAATATCGCGACCGCAAAGTGAATGGCTCAAGGAGCGAACTTTGCGAAGAAGGAGCCGAGGAGAAACAAAGAATTTCCCCAGTCAAATCATGGCCACAATGCATTTTGACCGCGTGGAAGATCGCGGTCGCGACTCGCAGATCGTGACCGCGAAGTCAGCCCATGATATCCTCAATCCCGGAGGCTAGTACGACTGTGTTTCAAGATTGCGGCCTCTCTTTTGAAGATCCCGCCCGCGATCTCTGCTCTTTTGGCCGCAAACTTGTTCATCCTCTAATTGCTTATAAATAGGAGACTCCTTTCCCCCTATTATAAGAGCTTATTTTGAGAAAAGAATTTTTTGTTTTAGAGAGAGAGAAGAGAGAGAAGCGGAAGGAAGGAGAAGAGGAGAAAGAGCTAGAAGAGAGGAGGCATCTTCCTCAACATCAAGTCTTCTTCAATTTTTTCTATGTATCTTCTTACCTCCTTTAAGTAGTCCTCTAATTTACTAAGGGTTCCAAACCCCAAACCCTAGTTTAAGGGTTTACTATGTATGTATGGATATTTTAGGGTTTGAATGAATGCATGTGTTTTTCTAGTTGATTCTATTGTTATTCTATCTTTGATTATGTTTGGGTACGATGCCTAATCTTCTCTTTTAGCCAACTATATGCTTCTACGCCGGGTATGGAGTTCTAAGGTTAGACGGGTATGCACCATCAAGAAAATCGAGATAGATGTGTGAATAGGGACCTATGGTGGTCGAGGCGACCGAACCCCTGCTATAGGTAGTCGTTCTAGATAGAATCCGAGATAAAACCTCGGTGTGGACGATGGATAGTATCCATTGAAAGGAGTAATGAGCTTGGTGCCCCAGATACGATAGCCTAGATCGATGTGACTTTATATGGGTCTAGGGGAGGCGTACTTGGAGGAGTGTGGATAACCACGAAAGCCCACGAAAACGAGCTCACTCACCACATTTGATAACCCTAAGTATCTAGATATACATAGTAGCCCTAGGCTAGGGTGAGGGATAGTTCCCCGAAGTACTTGCTTTTATCATTATTCAATCTTTAAACTAGTAGTTCTCTCAAATCCTCCACTCAAACCTCCAAAACCGATTAACTAATTAACATCTAAGTGGGAAGTAGGCTAGGGTACCAGGACCCGAGTAAAATACGACATTGATTACCGCTATAAGACAATGCCATCTTAGGTTAAACTTGGCTGAGGATGAGTTAGTTGTTGACATGTGCTAACCATTGACAAAAATCTGTACGGACTCAAGTGATTAAGCTTTTTGGCGCCGTTGCCGGGAACCCTCGGTAACTAGTACAAAACCATTAAGTTGTTAGTTAGTCTTTATCTTGTTTTGATTGTTTGTTTTATTTTGCGTTCTTGTTTGTGTGTTTTCGTTATTTTTGCGTTTGTTTCTTTTTGTTCTTTGTTTTTCACCCACTCTTCTCCCCGAAGGGTGGTTTGTGTGTGCTTGATTTTCCTTTTAGAGTTTTTGTTTGTGTAAAATTATTTGAATCATGGATCCTTATGACTTCACCAAAGTGTAGAGGTTTTCATCAATACTCGAAGATGATTACCCCAAAGCTTCATGGAATAATCAAGATGGTGGAAGTCAAGGGTTCGGATTATTTTACAAACCCCCCTTCCAAGAAGAAGAACCATACCAATGGAGATATAAAGATGACTCCTCATTCCAAGAAGATTTCCTTTCACCACCGGAACCAAGAAGAGAATTGGAACTCTTGGTGGAGCGGTTTACCCGAGGATTCGATGGAGCATCCTAAAGTGTGGAAGAATCTTGCTACACTCCACAATCATCGATGAGCCAATTGGAGCTTATGGTGAAGCAGTTCGTCTAGGATTCCGAAGCGAGCTCCGAGGTGGAACCCTCAACCACCACTCCTTGGGATTCTATGGTTAACGGAGGAGTTCCTCCAAAAAACGGAGTTCTGTGATGTTTCTCTTTTAATGGCGATCCGACCGAGAGTGAGAGTGCAAGTTCTCTTAGCTCTCAACAACGAAGAAACCGGTACCATCCATGGTGCGAAGAAACAAAAGTTCTAAGAGAAGAACCATAACGTCAAAGCGAGGAGAAACCACATCAAGCACAACAAATCAACCAATGGAGGCGACTAGGAACTATGATGGACCATCCTTACAAGAAAGAGCCTCCAATGTGCAACTACCCATATGCTCCAACTATGAATCAAAGACAAATTGGCAACTAGAGACCGATTTCTATTTTTTCTTTTTCTTTGCTTTTATCTATTTTAATTAAAACAATGTTTAATTATCACTTTATTTTTTATTACTTTTCGTACTTTAAATATTCTAGCACTAGAAGTATTAGTACTTATATTATATATCTATCTATCGTACTTATAACTTCTATTCGTCTTACTCTATCTCTTAATCGGTTTATCGTTGTGAAAACCGCCGGAAGACAAAGACCTACACTTGTGAACCTTCACCAAACCACTACCCAACCTATGGTAACCTTCACGATCTTCTCTTATGAAACTCCCACATTGAGGAAACTGTGTTGTTAAAGTGTGTGTGTGTTAGAATGAATATCATGATTGGTTGAACCATAGATTGCTAGTATTCTCCCTTGTTTGTGAATGTAAGATGTTGATGAATACTTATGGTAATGTGTGCTAGCAATGTGTTTATGTTGTGGTGATCAATGGTCAAATGATAGTGTTTTGGAACCTTGAATGCTACCAAAAAATTTCAAATTTGAGGGTTCCAATACACCTTGTTCCTTACAACTCCCTACTCGATATGCTTTGATTTGTTAGATGATTGATGTGTTGTGCTCGCTAGGTGATAGTTGCATGATTAGAGTACCGATGTATGAGGGGCTTTACTATTTTCTTCCTCTTTTCTGAGTCGATAATATGTGCTATTTTAGGAAGAACATGTGTGCGGGATTCTCTATTTGTTTGATTTTTGAACTCGAAGCTTTTGAAAGATTTGTGCACATTAGAAAGAAAGGAATTTTTTTTAAATGAGGCTCGCGTGAGGGGCAACCAATCCTCACGGATTTGGAGTGCCCTTTGAGGATATGCATAGGGATCGGATAACTTTACCGTGTCCCGCCCATCTTTCACTACTAACCATTAGTGTAGTCAAAAGTGTGTTTCTACGTAGAAGCGTTTCGGTGATCTAGAAGCGTAAAATCAGAAGTTTTTAAGCTTTAAATCGTAGTTTTTTTACTACATTAGTTATAAAAATGATGATTTTGCATAGAAGCGTTTTGGTCACCTAGAAGCATAAAAAGGTCAGTTTTTAAGCTTTAAAGCGCGTTTTTCACGTGCATAAATGTTCAAACATCGTCAATTGCATTTCTATTCCGTTCCTATTTGAATTCGATGTGATTTTAGGGTGTGTTAGACGATATATGCGAACTAGGTACAAAACAAGGTCAGAAGTGTGGCAAGGGGGAAAAAGACTAAAGATCGTGGCCTAGAAGTAAAGATCACGACCGAGAACCTGGACCGCAAAGACAAGCTGAAGATCGCTGCCTAGAAGCCCAAGATCGAGTCACGAATTGGAAGGCTCAGGGCGCGAACTTCACGAAGAAGGAGCCATGGAGAAACAGAGAGTTTCCCCAGTCGAATCACGACCATAGTGCATTTTGACCGCGAGGAAGATCGCAGCCGCAACCGCGAAGTTATCCCGCGATCTCCTCAATCTCGAAGGCCAGTATGAATGCGTATCAAGATTGCAGCCTTTCCTCTAAAGATCCCGCCGGCGATCTCTACCCTTCTGGCCGCAAACTTGTCCGTCCTCTGATTGCTTATAAGTATGAGACCCCTTTCCCCTTTTTACAGGAACTTATTTTGAGAGAAGAATTTTTGGTTTTAGACAGAGAGAAGAGAGGCAAGTGGAAGGAATGAGAAGTGGAGAAGAAGGATAAGGAGCTAGAAGAGAGGAGGCATCTTCCTCAACCTCAAGTCTTTTTCAATTACTTCTATGTATCTTCTTCCCTCCTTTATGGAGTAGTCCTCTAAGGTACTAGGGGTTCTAAACCCCAAACATTAGTTTTAGGGTTTACTATGTATGTATGGATATTTTAGGGTTTGAACGAATGAATGTGTTTATCTAGTTGATTCTATTGCTATTCTATTTTTGATTGTGTTTGGGTAAGTTGCCCTAATCTTCTTTATTAGCCTACTTTATACTTCTACGCTGGGTATGGATTCTAGGGTTAGACGGGTATCCACTATCAAAGAAATCGAGGTAGATGTATGAATCGAGACCTACAGTGTTCGAGGTGACCAAACCCCTGCTATAGGCAGCCTTCCTAGATAGAACACGGTATACAACCTTGATGTGGACGGTGGATAGTATGCATTGAAATGAGCTATGAGCTTAGTGCCCCAGATACGATAGCCTAGATCGAGGTGACTTTATATGGGTCTAGGGGAGGTGTACTCAGAGGTGTGTGGATAACCACAAAAGCCCACGGAAACGAGATCACTCACCACATTCGATACCTGTAAGTATATAGACATACATAGTAGCCCTAGGATAGGGTGAGGGACAGTTCCCCGAAATACCTGCTTTTATCTTTATTTGATTTCTAAACTAGTAGTTCTCTCAAATCCTCCACCCAAACCTCCAAAACCGATTAAGTAATTAACAACTAGGTGGAAAGTATGCTAGGGTACAAGGACCCGAGTAAAATACGATCTCCATTACCACTATACGACAACGTCATCTTAATTAGGTTAAACTTTGCTTTGGATGGGAAGTGTTGACACGTGCTAACCATTGACAATAATCTACACGAAATCAAGTGATCATTAACAAACTGAAAATTTTGAAAGAAAGAATAGAGAGAAAAATATGGAAAGGAATTTATCAGGAAAAAAATATTGTTAAAATGAACCTGAAACCGAACTTTATGTTTGCCCACATTACATGGATAGACCGCTGAAATTTGTAGCTTAGTATTACAAATTTAATTACAAAAAAACAATTCAAATAAGAAATTATTACTATATAATAAATAAACTACCCTCCAAAGTTTATACTTTCCTTAAATGAATTTCTTTTATTAGAGTTTGAGCTATAGTTTCCACAATTATGACTTTCAATTGCAACTTTTAAACATTTTATGGCAAGTTTTATACCATTTTAAGGCATCTTTAGTCCATTTGGTTTGGATTTCCTTTGTATGTGTCCAGACATGTGCCGGATAGCCTCTAAGAGTATCCGTAATGATTTGATGACACTCATGGTATTTGCTCAGACGTGTGCTTGATACTTGATAGCCTCTAAGAGTGTTATTTGATGAAGAAAAATTATGTCACGTAAATATTTTAGTTTTCCAGCTCATTCTATAACAAGTTTTACACCATTTTAAGACATCCGATGAAGAAAAATTATGTCACGTAAATATTTTAGTTTTCCAGCTCATTCTATGACAAGTTTTACACCATTTTAAGTGACACTAGGACACTCTTAGACGCTATCAAGCACACGTCTCAGCACTTACCAAGGAAATCCAAACCAAATTGTCTAAAGATGCCTTAAAATGGTGTAAGACTTGCCATAGAATGAACTGAAAAAAATAAAATATATACTTCGACATAATTTTTCTTTGTCAACCACCACACAAGTGTATATCATTTCGGTTTGAGTCTTGTACCATGGTTTACTTGTGAAGACCCATACATAAAAATTCAAAAAGTATTTTCTCTATCTTTTGCCATGGTTCTCTTTGTCTTCATTCATTGATCTTTCTTCCATTCACCAATTAAGGTTACAACCAATCCATGGTAACATATTCATTTAGGGTTAGCTTCCCTTACACATGTGTTGAGATCTCTAATTCCCAACATAAAATTTAAGAACTTCCACATAGATCCTCTCCTTTCCTATAAATCATAATATTCCTTCACGCCTCCTATCTTCCTATAGTCACAAAATTTAACTAACTATTCACAAGAATTTCCTAACAAGATTACCTCTTTAGCTTATCATTTTTTCTTCTTCTTCATTTCAAGCTTGAGCTCTAAGATTGGGCCAAATAGAACACGCGGAAAATCTTCGGTCTCTTTCTTGATAACTCTTGGTCACCCATCCTAACACAAAGATTGTCATAAATATGGAAACACAGAGCATTGCTATCCACAAGATCAGCATCGACATCTTGAATGGGCCACATTGATCATCCACAACGTCAGCCAATGTGCCCTTCACTAGCATGCATTTTGTCAGGCTCTCCAGTTCTGGGAATACATCTATTGCAACTTCAGCTGAACGACTGTAAGCGATCGCCATCATGGAGACACTCTTTGGAATCACTTTACCATTCATTCCACAACTCTCCAAATTAGATCCATCTGGACAAGTGAGGCTCAAGAGCATCTGCAAATATAATTGTCAAAATATGAAATTGATTATTATTTATTATTTTCTTAAAAAAAAACCCCCTTTTGATTTCACTTACATTTGTCATTTCACCAACTGAGATGAAATCTGTAGGGCATGACCCAGGCGTGAAGATTTGGCCCGATGATCCAGAGAAAGGGTCGCACACTCCTTTAATATCCACGTTGCTGGCTTCTTGTACAAACATCAAGTCGCTAGAACTAATCTTTGAGTTTAACTACAGTTGAAAAAAAATTTGTAGGAATATGAATGAAATAATAAAACTTATGTAAAATCGCAATAATTAGTTATGAATACTTAAAGATGAGGTGAGTACAAACGTAACATACATCAGAAATGAAACTGTGGATGGTGCCACCGACTTCTGCCAAGAGTTCATTGGCTTCTGGAGTATCCATGCATGGTATTATAGAGCTCAAGGAATTGTTATGTGGATTCTCCACAAAACTATGAAATGCCCTACAAGTATCTTCAGCAAATCTATTTGGATAAAAGTACAAAATGGTCTCTTTAATTTACTACATACGATAAAAATTTAAAGGAGAGAATAATTGATTAAAATAGGTTCAGTGTAACGAAACTATGGAGAATTGGTAAGTGTTTTTACTCACGTATGGAGAAAAAAGTCGACGCCTGTCAAAATCCAGTACATTGTTGTTAGGATCCAACATGTCAAAATTGTTCTGAAAACAAAAAAAAAAAAAACACCAAGTCCCAAATCATAATTTAATAATTGTAGAGAGCTAACATATTTGCTAATTTTTTGAGCTACAACACAGAATAATCATTAATTTTGTAAAAAAAATCATGTATGTTTATAAATGACATCAATTTATTTTTCACAAGAATTAAAATTACTGAAGGGGATATAATGACTTACAAGATAAATCCAGGGTGCCAATGCAAGAAGAGTACAGCTGAACCAAAGAAGCAAATTCCAATTAGTCTAATAACCAGATTTTCTTAGAACCATCAACTCATAAAAATATTGAAAATAATCAACTAGTAAGCATTGCAGAGGACATACGTATTGAAGCCACCAAGAAGGCCAAGTTGACAATGACTACAACAAAATGTACCATGTGCCTGCCAATAAAATTTTTCATCCAAAAAAAAAAAAAAACTTAACCCATGTATAAACACAAAGAGGTAACAATTATTGTCATAACATCATAAAAAAACAATTATTGTCATAAACCAATTAGTCCCAATAACTCGAGTTGTTGGGAGAAGGTTATACTTGATCTTATACCACACTCTAACACGCCCCCTCAAACGAAAGCCAGCTCACGGGCTTGAAGTTTGCACAGGCCCACCATACCTTGTGCTTTAATCAACTGTTAATATTGGGGGTCGTGGAGATTCGAGCACACGACCACTTGGTCAAACCAGCTCTGATACCATGTCATAAACCAGTTAGTCCTAATAACTCGAGTTGTTGAGAGAAGGTTATACTGGATCTTATACCACACTCTAACAATTATAATACAAAAGAATTAGAGTACCCTCCAAAGAAGTGGAAGTGAAAAGATCAGCACAATTAAGGAAATAAAGGTTGAAGATTGCCAATTGTAGTATACTCACGAAGTCTCAATTGCAATATCCATGGAGTGGCTACTCTTTGCTACATATTCTTTGATGGTGTTCGAGTCATCGGCAAGCAAATGGGTTATGTTGTACAGCCTTAGAGAAGTGTCCGGCTGATAAGGGCGGAGAAGACTTTGAATCGTAGACATTGCCAAAACCACCGATTGAATCGTGCGATGAGTTTCTTTCGCCACCTTCACTATGGTTCCCTTCAGCTCTTCTGTTTTATGCAGCGAGCTTTGGTTTGCTATTGCGACAATTATGGTTGCTGCCCTGAATTTTTAGGGAGAGGTTAATTAAGACATTATAGCTCTGTTGATGGTGAAGGGAAGTGTAAGAGAACTCACAAAGCAAGGACGGTAAAGATGAGGAGGAGGAAGAACATAGGGAGGTGGTAGTAGTCCAAAAAGTCTCGGATTGCTGCAAGCTGTGCACCTCCATTCTTCAAAGCCCAAACGATTCCTAAGCCTACTCCACATATCACCCACGCTACAGCAATTGCGTATCCATGTACTCCTGTATACATCGCGGACTAAAACAAATGATTAAGTTACACACTAATAAATTGGGACCTCCTACTAACATGCTTTGAAGTTACAATAACTTGAACTTTCTGATCTGCTATATAGCAGGTTTTACAGGTCGCATTACGTAAATCTAATGTTTATTACGTAACAATTACGTAATGCTTGTTAGTCTTACGTAACAGTTAAGCTAGAAGCGTTCCGTAACGACTTGTCATTTTACGTAACGCTATGTTAATATTCATTACGTAAAAAGCATCGTCTATTACATAAGGCTTCCGTAATGACATTTTACAACTGTTACATAAAATACACGCTCATTACGTAAAGGTTACGGAACGAAGGTTATTTCTTACGTAACAGTTAAATTTGAAGTGTTACGTACGACTTCCTGTAATGACTTACCACATTATGTAACTTGATTAATATTTCATTAATCATTACGTAAAAGGACCATCCATTACGTAAGGCTTCCGTAATGACACTTTACAACTATTACGTAAAATATGCATCTATTACGTAAAGGTTACGAAACGATAGTTATTTCTTACGTAACAGTTAAATTAGAAGCGTTATGTAAGTCTTTCGTAATGATTTAACATATTACGTAACGAAAGCTTAATATATTCATTACGTAAAATGAGTGTCTATTACCTAAGGTTTCCGTAATGACATTTTTCAACTATTACGTAAGATAAACTCATAAACATACATTACGTAACCTTTACGTAATGCCAATTGTATTTTACGTGATGCGACTTTTGAAACCTGTTATAGCAGGTCAAAAGCATCAAGTTACAGTAACTTCAAGGTATTGTAGGAATTTCCTAAATTTCCTCACCCACAATTAGACTCTAAAAAACCTTAACTTAGATATGCAGAACTAACATAATTATTCCAATTAAAGCTACTGGTCTCCCTATCAAATGCATAACCTAAATTAAACATGGTAATTCGTATACATATCATTTTTGTTAAAATTGAAACTAACAGGATGATAATAAGTGACTAAAATTTTAATCTGTAGTGTATGTTCATGCTTGCTATCACAAAGATCCATCATTCCATACGAAGAAGAATTCAAATATTCGTGTTGTGCAATAAATTTTTACTCTCGCTCATATTTTGGTTATTAAAAGGAAGAGGAAAACACAATTATAGGATCAAAATTTGGGGGTCATAAAGATGATAAGTAAAAAAGAAAAAGATAAAAATGTGACTTATGGACAAAAGGAAACTCACAGCCCAATAATGTTTGTCAGTGACATTGTATGTTCCGACGTAGTCCTTGAAGCCATGCAGAGGATCCGGTCGCCGATATCTATCTTCTCCGATGAATCCAGAAACCGTCGATGAGAAAATCAACGTGAAAACAAGAAGAAATGGAATCAGAGGTACGGTAGGGGAGGATGGATTTAATTTGAAGGACATCATCATTCGATATTTGTTTAGTTATGATTTACTTCTTTCGTTTTGGAAAAATCTAGTTTACCAAGAAAAGGGTGTCGAGAGACGGAGAACTGCATTTTGCAAGTGTCATAAAAAGGGACGAATTAAGTACAAAGCCTGACAGAAGGGGAAAAAAAGTTAACTACAAGAAAAAGTGCTTTTTGCAACCAAAAAAATTGGTTCCTCACTATGACGTAATTCTTTAAGGTAAGAATTGCTTGTTGCTATAGCTAATCTATTTCAGAATTCTGTTGTGTGCAAGGCAGGAAAACGGTTTAACAAAGTGAAAATTTTGAAAGAAAGAATTGAGAGAAAAATATGGAATGAAATTTATCAGGAAACAAAATATTGTTAAAACGAACTAGAAGCCGAACTTTATGTTTGCCCGCATTGCATGGATTGACCGCTTAAATTTTTAGCTTAGTATTACAAGTGCAATTACCCAAAAGGGTTTGAGCTTTAGTTACAGTAAAGTCACGACTCCTTTGCCACGACTCCTTTGCCCGGATAAATTGATTTGGAATTTTGATCCATATGGTTTATTTACAGTAAAGTCAGCTTATCGATTGGCGACTAGTTTGCCTCCTTTTTCAAGGCTCGTGGTAGTGTGGACCAGGCTTCACCTCTTGATCCTGCGCTATGGCCTCGCCTTTGGGGTCTTCCTCTTGCTCCCAAATTGAAGTTTTTCCTTTGGCGGATTTTACTAAGAATCCTTCCGGTTAGGGAGGATCTTGCCCGACATGGGGTGCAGGTAGAAGATTCATGCCCTATTTGTGGTTCGGATGAAGGCGAATCGCTGGAACATTTATTCCTTGCGTGTCGTGTGGCAGTAGATTTCCGTCAACGGTGTGGTTTACATCTGCCTCCGAGAATTTTTTCAAGCACACATTTGTCCATCTTTTTAAGACACATCATTCTCTCTGATCATGCCACCATAATGAATTGGGTCCTCTTTTTTTTGGCGGATTTGGAAAGGGCGGAATAATGTTGTCTTTCCACCCTATGCACAATTTACCACTGCTGCCTTGTACCGTCACCTATTGTCTCATCATACCTCTCATCAAATTGCCATCCTACCCAATCAGTCGCCGCCACCCAGACCTCAGCCTTATCCTCGTTCGACGCTTCAATCTACTTTTCGTATTGCAGTTGATGGGGCGACAAGTGCTCCGACTCATGGCGCAATTGGCGTGGTGGGTTTGGATCAGAATGTGCCAGTTTTTGCAATGGGTGGTTTCTTTCCAGGCCTTTTTCATCCTAAGATCATGGAGGTGTTGGCAATTAGAGAAGCTATATTACTACTTCGACAATGGCAGTGGCAGGATCGACCGATTGTGATTACAAGTGATGCTCTTACAGTTGTACAACATTTGAAGGCTTCTGATGCCAATGATGCCCTTGTGGGGGCTATCTTACGAGAAGTCATCTTTATGTTGCAAGAATTGCCATTGGTTTCTGTTGCTTTTACTCCTAGAGAAGCAAATCGGGCTGCCCATTATGTGGCACGTAATGCCTTATGCTACTCTGGCTCTTGTAGTGTTCGTTTTAATTGTTCTTATTTGCTTTGACTATCATTTCACGAAGAAGCCGGTGTATTGTGGCTCTCTCGTGCTTACCTAGTTAATCCGCAAGGGTTTCTATGACAAAAAAAAAAGGGTTTGAGCTTTAGTTTTCACAAATATAACTTCTAATTGCAACTTGTAAACAATTATGTTTTGGACAGAATAGTTGATTATTTTTTGTTAAACTACTAATATTTTTTATGCGAAATTAAAATTGCATTAAGTACCGACCCTCATCAAGAAATCCCAATGCGCCTCTCAAACATGTACACAAACGTCTTTTATGGAATGCAATTTATCCATTAATATAATCTAACAAACTATCTAGGTATATTCAGTGCAGTCAAAATCGCGCTTTAAAGCGTAAAATCGTACGATTTTACGTTTTTAGGGTAGGAAAATGTTTCAAATCACTATTAAAATTGTTTTTTACTCAAAATCGGTCAAAATCGTAAGTAAAATCGGTAAAAACGGATAAAAACGCGTTTTCATACCGTTTTTGTACGATTCCAAGCGAAAGAGAAAACTGTCTCCACTCATCAAAACGGCGAAGTGGGTGGCGCTCGGGGTGCGGCTGCCAAAGAGGGGGAAAGAGGTGGCTATCGTGAAACCCTAATTCTCTCCAATTTCCAGTCCCTTCTCGACGAAAACCATCCGCCGCCGCCGCGCACAGGCCTTCCAATGAAGTCTCCCGGCCGCCTCAAGTCCACAGTCGCCGCCTTCTTCCAGCAAACTCCGGCGCCATCCAGTGGCGGAGCCACTTGGAGAGGAAGGGTGCTTTGCACCCCCCTTGGGTTTGGAGAAAAAATTTCCGAGTAGGGGTATATACAAATTCGAACCAATGACCATTCAGTTGCAGGAAAAATTTCTTATCATTTCGATCGAGTGAGTTTTGTTATGTAATGCACTTTCGTCTTTATTTATAGTAATAAATTGTTGTCTTTTGTTTAAACTCGCTCTTTTTTTTTTGTAGCTCTACAACAGAGAAATTTCTTGTCTTTTGTTTAAACAAAGTTGAAAGTGAAGAAGTACCAATTGAAGTTCACTTGTTTGTTTCACAAAATCAATTCCAAGGTACTTCTGAGTTCTAATTTGTAATATTTGATGAATGGAAGTCTTGATTTGTATGTACTGAACTTATTTGTTTGATGTTGTAACCGGTGTACGTGAAACTATTTTAATGTAATTGTGTGAATTTAGAGTATTGCGTTGTTGACTTTTTGTTTAATTTAAAGTTGACTTTTCTATTGTATAGGTGATTTTTTATCATATGATAAAGACACCCCCTTGGCCAATTTCCTGGCTCCGCCAGTGGCGCCATCGCTCGTCTTCCAGGGAACAACAGAGGGTGAAAGGGCTCAATGAGAGCGACTAAAAGATCTAACAATTTTTTAGTGTCTCCGTGAAAATCCTGGGAAAACATCTCTTAGTTAGCTTGGCTGTCAAGAAGGTAATCTACGTATTATCCATCTTTTCCTTGTAAATTGTATTGTTAGTTTATTAGTTATGTTGCTTCTAGGAGTCAATTCTTCAAATAATTATGAGATACTGCAAAGCTACTTTTACCCATTTGCTTCCTTTTGTCATTGAAACCTGCAACATAGTTCTCCAGCTGACGATCAGAACCACACAAAACTAACTAAATGCTCTATCCATTTATGAGCCTTTCCATGGAAAATGTGATCAAGTGCTCCTGATATAGACTCGATAAACCATTCATTTGAAGCACTTCACGACTTCATTTTTTTAATTTTGACAGGACAAGTTCCATTAGACAATATCTCAGCATGCAGAACGTTGCCAACAACAAAGCAATCGATATGAACGAAAAACTAATGCATACCAAGCGGAGAAATGTTGATTAGATATGGAGGAGTCATGTACGCTAAAAATCGAACTCACATTGAGATGTTAAATTATAGATTTTTTTCCATTTAGAGATGATAATATGAATTGAGGTAGAGAAATCCGCTTCTTAGTATCGTATCCCTGCTTCATATTTATAAATTATGATTCGAAGATGAAATTCAAAAAAAGTTTATTAAAATTCAGGAATATAATTATTCGTGATGCACTATCGTCTTAAATTGCAGGTTTCTATTCTTTTATTTAAACTCTGTGCACTCATATTTTACATAGTTTATGTTGTACTTAATATATTTTTAACTATTATACATGAGGCATCAAAAACTTGCGCTTTTACGCTTTGATTCACCGCTTTTCGATTTTACTCCTTTTCCGCTTTTAGGTAAAATCGCGCTTTTGATTGCATTGGATATATTTGAAGGGTAGGATCTCCACTTGCTCGATAGAGGACATCTTCATGTATGACTTTTCACTAACTCCTTCGAATTTCTAATTGACTTTGATCCATACATCCGAGAATACGTCTCCCGCCAAACATGACTAAGAGCAGAACTCCAAATAAATCTACATATTTTATGGCAGAGAGAGCATATGAAGAAATACTCAGTTACCAAGGTCTGGAATTCCATTCGACGGCATGTACAAGAGGTCACTTGGTGGAAGTTTGTATGGGCTAAAGAAGTTATACCTAAGCATGACATGGTCCTCTGGTTAGCACAGCATAAAATACTAATTACAGTTGTCATGTGTGAAACCAGTATTAGGATTGTGCTTATTGTGTCCCGGAGAAGTAGAAAGCAGGGAGCATTTACTTGTGCAATGTTCTTGCACTGTGTATGTTTTGCACAAGAGTTTAAAAAGTCACTCCTCACCTGTTACAGGGAATTGGGAAGGAATTGTGTCATGGTGTGTGAAGAAGTGAAACTCGAAGACTATTAAACTATTTATAAAATAAGGACTGATGTAAAATAATTTAAAATTTTAAAATAAAAAAATGTATCTTGTTGGATTTTTTATATTAAGCTAAATTATTTTCCATTTCTTAAATCAATGAGTTATTGGTTTCGATACAAATGGGACTAAATACTAACAAAACTCTTCAGGATTCACCCATCAAATGGTGGAAAAAATCCCATAATACACTTATTATTAAAAAAAAATTCCAAAATACAATACTTATAAAAATATTTTCCAAAATACAGCAGTTTGGTTATCACCGCTGCAAACCAAGACAGTGATGGAAATCACCGTTTTTGACCAAAACGGTGATAGCATCATCGCTTTGGACAACAACAGTGATGCTATCATCGCTGTTGTTAATGACGGTGATTAACTCACCGTTGAGATGCGACACGGTGAACATCTTCACCGTTGAATCCAAAAGCGGTGAAGTGGCGCGGATCGCTGACGTGGACGCCCGCGGGGACTTCACCGCTGAAGACCAAAGCGGTGATAGCCCCGCTTTCCACGTCAGCGATCCGCGCCACCCGCGCCTTCACCGCTGCCGTTGGATGCAGTGAGGCGCGGATTGTGGTTTTTCTCCACGATCCGACGCCTCACGCCGCGCCACGTCAGCTATCCAGGCCATCACCGCGTTTGTTGGACGCAGTGATTTCACTGCCTTCATCAGAGGCGGTGATTGGTCCCTGGTAATTTTTTCCAGCGGCTCTTTCCCCCCTTTCCCCTATAAATACCACTCCCCCCCCCCCTCCCCCTCATTCCAAACCACACCAAAATCTTATACTTCTTTCTCCCTCCTTTACTTTCCTCTAGTTTCGTTCTAAGTATGCTCTGTGGTTGCGGCTAAGTCCGATCTTCCGCATCAGAAAGAATAACTAGAGTTAGTTTTTGTTTTGTCGATACTCTCGCTAGCTTTTCGGCAAAAAATGGACGAAGAGGCTTTGATAGTACGTAAATTAATTATATTCTTTTGTGATTTTTTTTACATGGGTGCTAAAATTTAAATTGATTTGATTTTATATTTTTTTATAGATGGGTGCTGAGATATACGACCCTCGATTGTATATCGATCCTGGCCCAAGGGATCGAAGGTATTTAACCGGGCAAGATCAACATCGCTCCCGTTCAATTTGGAACAATAATCCGGTAGACACACTAAATTTATTTCAATAATTTTAAAGTTTTTATTTTGCTTTCTATTGACTGATAATATTGTGTTATTTGTTTTGTAGGAATCACTTATTCCCATCGCCCATCGAGGGACATGTCGATTGCCCCGTTGGCATGATCGACTGCAGCCCTATATAGAGAGGACGGGATTGCACATGCTGAGGCACTTTACGAGGCTTGATATTGACAACGATCTGCTGACGGCAATGGCAGAGCGATGGCGCCCCGAGCTGCATACCTTCCACTTTCCCGAGGGTGAAATGACGATCACTCTCAAAGATGTTGCCATCCTCACCGGGCTCCCGATCACCGGAGATGCCATCATCGACAGCTCGAAAAAACCGGATGATGGTTGGGGGCCATTGATTCTAGAGCGTTTGGGGTTCAACATGCCGACCACCACGCCCGTCGACGGACATGGGCATCCACCACTGAATGCGGGGAAAGTATCGGTCCCGTGGCTTGTTGACCACATCCAAATGGAGGTTAACATAGGCCCCGACACTCCTGAAGATCAGGTGGAGCGGTATGCACGTGTCTACCTAATTGGTTTGGTTGGTGGGTTTCTGTTCCCCGACAAGTCAAACCGGTGGATACTAGGCATGTGGTTAAATATGCTCCTCAGTGACTGGGACGAGATCGGGAGAAAAAGTTGGGGGTCGGCCGTCTTGGCTGGGATCTACCGAGAGTTGTGTACTTGCTCGAGGTTGGGAGCGAAACAAGCTGGTGGTGCGATGTTCATACTCCAACTCTGGGCATGGGAGCATCTTCCGTTTTTAGCACCTCGAGACCCTCGGGAATTCTGGTTGCCAGACGATGAGCTACGATTTGTAGCAAATCCCCCATATGGTTTCAAGTAAGTTTAATTTGAGTTTAATTTATTTTAGATATGCAATGGTAGTATTTTAGTGAATTTAGATCTATTCCAAGTAAGCGAATTTAGTGAATTTTAGTGAATTTAGATCTATTCCAAGTAAGCGAATTTAGTGAATTTTAGTGAACTTAGATATCTTTCAAGTAAGGAAATTAAGTGACATTTTTGGTCTGCAATTATAGTATTTAGTGAATTTAGATATCTTCCAAGTTAGCAAATTTTGAATTTTTCTAACCAAATCCTATTTAGCTAATTTAGATTATTGCCAAGTAAGGAATTTTAGTTCAATTTATATGATTCCATACAATCATACTTAACAAGTAAACATCTATGCCATAAAAATTGCTTATATACGTACTTTTGCTTAATTAGGTGGATCGGAGCAAATACAAACGACCACCAGCCCGAACACTCTTTGCTGTTTTATCGTGCTGAATTCGATAAGCCTTGGTGGAACCAGGTAAAAATACTTAAATTTCATCATTTTCAATTTTTTAGGTGGAGTGGATATAATTTGTACTAATTCCATGAACTATAATGATTGTAGGCGGTATGGGATCCATATCCAAATGAAGTGGTTGAGTTGCATCGTCTTAGACATCCCGAGGATGAAGAGACATGGTTGACGGCCGTCTCAGTTGGTTGCACGTATTCTTCCCAACCACCACCTCCTTCATAACTACCTCCTCCGTAGTTGCTTGAAGTACCACCCCAGCCATACCCTCCTGCAGAAGTACCTCCTTCGTAGTTACCTCCTTCGTAGTTACTTGAACTACCACCCCAGCCATACCCTCCTGCAAAACCATCATCACAAGAATACTGGTGAGAATGAGTTTCACTGACTGGCTCGGTCTCGACATACACCTCTGCAAGCCGCAACCCGTTGTCAGATAGGAACTGTATCATCATGTTCACCGAGTCATCATCGTTTATGACAACTTTTTCGTACACAACTCCGCCAGCACTCATGTTTGGATAGCGGTAGGCAATTTGACCAACTCTCATTTGCCCGCCCGTACAAGTCCTTTCTGCACAAATGTCATGAAGTTCTTGCCACGAGAATCTCGACTCAATTTTTAGCATAGTGGATTCGCCATTTTCATAGTCGATGCCAATGTTCGAGTTTGTCACCCGACCATTCCACCGAATAATAAGCCGAAACTTCTTAAATTTAACCATGTCTGCAATTTATAATAATTAAGTATAGTATATAATTAGTACATTAGGGATACAAAAACAATATCATCCAAACCCATAAACAAACGCATGTAATTGATCTATCATGAGAAAACTAAACAAATTCATCTAAATTCATAACTAATTCACTAGTATCATATCATAATTAATCTAAATATATCATAATATATTTTCCAATAACCGCAATTCACTAAATACAGACATATAATTACTAACACATCAACATGTAAACAATACATAATTATAACATACCGACTCCCGATCTATCATGAGAAAACTAATCAAATTCATCTAAATTCATAACTAATTAACTAACATCTATCATATCATAATTAATCTAAATATATCATAACATATTTTCCAATAACCGCAATTCACTAAATACAGACATATAAATTACTAACACATCAACATGTAAACATTACATAATTATAACATACCGAATCCCGACGAGTTTCTTGAGCAGTAAACCAACTCCAAACCAGCTGAGAAAACGACTAATAAAACACTAATTTTTGTACTAATTTTCTGTAAAGTAGCAATAGGGGAAGTGGAGGTCAGTATTTATAGAAATTTTTTTTTGCAATCACCGCCTTGGACAAAAACAGTGATGTGTTCACCGCCATAGTCCTCAGCGGTGATTGCTTGGTAGCTGTGACCTAATTTCCACCTACCAGGCCGGTAAAACGTGTCAATTATCATCGCTTTACACATCAGCGATGATATCATCGCTTTACACATCAGCGGTGATAAGGTCGAGTTTCACCGTTTTAAACCAAAACGGTGATTGCATCACCGTTTTGGTAGAAAGCGATGATGCTATCATCGCTTTTAACCAAGACAGTGATGCAATCACCGTTTTGGTCCAAAACGGTGAAGGGTTCATCGCTTTTGTCCAAGACAGTGAT